ACGGACGAGTCTTCGCTGGACCCATGCATCCACTGGCTTTGGGCACTCATTTGATTGCCAGTCACGAGGTTGGTTGCACGCCCAGAATGCTCAGTCAGATCATCCACTGGGTCCTGGAAGGACCTGCAGATTAATCACTTCAGCATAGATGGATCAGCACTCGTATCCGAAAGGAAGCCCACCATCGTGAAGTCTCCCTGCAACCACGCCTCATCGTGCCTCACGTCCCTTCACTTCGAGCGCTGGCGCATCTTTCGGCGCTTCTTTTGCAAGCGGCGCGTGCGCTTCTTCTTCCACTTCCAGCGGAACTTCGAGCGAGCCTCAGCATCATGTCTGGATCGGATCTGCAGGCGCTTGCGGCTGCAAAGCATTTCTGCTTCTACCGGGTCTCTTTCTTGTACGGGTTGGACTTGTGCGCCATGGCGCCCAGCCCCCCCGAAGCCTGGCCTCCAGAGCCGATATGGCTCTGCAAAGGAAATATGTCGTTGTATGCCAGCAAGGAGTTCCGCAGCTGTTGCACAACAAACAAAGCATCTTATCTCACCAAATCCTGAATGTCTTCCTGGAGTATTGGTTGAATTTCTGTTCCATCCTGAAATGAAGTCACAATGTGTTATCCCACTCTCTTAGTGCAGGACCAACAATACCACGAACCGGAGCAGCATGAAGGACTCCGGCTCCTTATGATGTCGGTTCATCCTGGAATCTGGTGCACGCTGAGAGATGGAGATCGTCACTACCGGCAAACCACGTTTTGCAGACAGCTGCACAATGCACACTCCCTCCATAATCCATAACAGAGAAGCGTGGGGAGTCGGCCCAAAAGTCCAAGACTCTGGCAAGTCGCTCAAGGCACTGTACACTACCAGGGCAGCCAAGCCCACTGTGCTTTACTTTACAAAATGGCACACTCGCGGCCTCATAGGACCAGAACATGTCATGCGCATCCGCGGCAGCCAGGAGGATACTGCCAAGCCGGCTGCGGCACCCACTGGCACCAGCTTTCGCACTGGCGTCGGGGTGCACTAGGTTTAGGCCAGGGATCCCCAGAGTCCCCACCGTAGCCCGCGCAGTCGGGAACATGCTCCAGAGAGGCGGCCGGTACCCAGCGACACCAGTCAGGGTCCGCGAGCGGATCCGCAAGCTTCACCTTGAGGCCGGCCGTTCCGTAGCGGGGCACAACAGCATCTTCTCTTTCCTCCTGGGTGCCGTTTGTGGCATTGCTGGCACTGCTGCTGTTCTGCGTGGTCTCGTTGGAGCATCGATGACACTCATGCACATGGTGCCATGCAGGGCCCGATACCCAGACGCACCAGTAGGTGCAGCCTTCCGCCACTGCAGGGATGCTGGATCCACTGCTGGCACAGGCATCAACAAACTGCAGCAGAAGTGGGGGAACCCAGTTGCACCAAAGCGGGACGTCTTCTTTCGATACGTTGTCGCTCGGACCAGCTGGCTGGCATCCACGGCAGTCGGGTGGGTCGAACCAGGATGCCTGTGGGACCCACTGGCACCAGCTTGCACATTGTGGACCAGTTGGAATCTGGTCAGGCCCGTAGCCGGCGCAGTCACCGACAAACTTCAAAGATGCAGATGGCAGCCACCGACACCAGTCAGGAAAGACTTCATCCAACCGCTTGGTTTTCAGGCCTCTGGGCCTGGGCTGAGGCTTCGAGGCCGTGACGTTGGTGATGACTGTGCTGTTGATGCAAAGGCTGCACTCTTCGACGTACATCCAGCCAAGTACCGGTACCCACTCGCACCACTCCACGCAGCCTTCCATCTTGCCTGCAAAAGATGTGTTCGATCCCTCTGTGCAGCCTGCCACCTCTTGCTGTACAGAGATGGGTACCCAGCCACACCATTCCTGCCAAGCAAGGGCTGACGATGCCATCAGGAGTAGACTGGGCACTCGGCTCGGATTGACCATGCCTATGAACTACTGGTGCAAAGCTTGGAGGGGTGACTGGGCAAAACAGGCTCTCATCACAGACACAGTGAAGTTCTGCATCCGAGTGAGGGCAGCCCTTTGCAAGAGACATGGGCCCACATTTGTCGTCTTTGGGCCGCGCAGTACGCATCAGACTCGCTAAGCTTCCTCTCACCTGTCCGCTGAGTTCAACGCCTCGACAAATGCGATGCTTTGCCTTCGCCAGAGAACCTCACATGGCACCTGCTTCCTCCTCTGCCCAATGGTCCGAGCATCTTTGCGAGGCAGCCTGGTCAAACGCGAAGGTCTGTGAACGACTCTGGGTCAATTGCTGGCAAGAAACCTCTTCACTTCGAGCGCTGGCGCATCTTTCGGCGCTTCTTTTGCAAGCGGCGCGTGCGCTTCTTCTTCCACTTCCAGCGGAACTTCGAGCGAGCCTCAGCATCATGTCTGGATCGGATCTGCAGGCGCTTGCGGCTACAAAGCATTTCTGCTTCTACCGGGTGGCCTTCTTGTACGGGTTGGACTTGTGCGCCATGGCGCCCAGCCCCCCCGAAGCCTTGAGATTTTGGCTCGAGCACAAAGCTCTGCAGCACGGCGAAGCAGTGACACTCAGACCTCTTCCACAGCTCGTTCGTGGCTGCGAAGCCGGAATAGGTTTCGTTCCTGCCTGCATGCCTGCCTGAAAGGCTCCCACAACGTAAACCTCGTGCACACAAACCTTCCACCACGAATATCCACGAATCCACATGCAAAATGGCAGCTCTCGTTTTCGGGCGATTGCCTGGCAGCACAGGTCCAGGGGAGTCCACTCAGCAAGTAGTCTTCGCCTGAGCACACAGGTCTTCAACGGACGAGTCTTCGCTGGACCCATGCATCCACTGGCTTTGGGCACTCATCTGATTGCGAGTCACGAGGTTGGTTGCACGCCCAGAATGCTCAGTCAGATCATCCACTGGGTCCTGGAAGGACCTGCAGATCAATCACTTCAGCATAGATGGATCAGCACTCGTATCCGAAAGGCCCACCATCGTGAAGTCTCCCTGCAACCACGCCTCATCGCGCCTCACATCCCGTTCACTTCGAGCGCTGGCGCATCTTTCGGCGCTTCTTTTGCAAGCGGCGAGTGCGCTTCTTCTTCCACTTCCAGCGAAACTTCGAGCGAGCCTCAGCATCATGTCTGGATCGGATCTGCAGGCGCCTGCGGCTACAAAGCATTTCTGCTTCTACCGGGTCTCTTTCTTGTACGGGTTGGACTTGTGCGCCATGGCGCCCAGCCCCCCCGAAGCCTGGCCTCCAGAGCCAATACGGCTCTGCACAGCGCAGTCTCGTCGACTACCAGGAGATCCCACCAAAAATACCGACAACCATGATCCCTTTGCAATCTGATGAGACCTGTCAACGGGGGCTGATCCACGAAATCACAAAATTGAACGGCGCCGCATTTTCCGGCAGCCGTCTCTGGATCCGTCCTCTCCATAGCTTGTCACGTCGGGAGCCAAATACTATAATACTGGTCGAGAACCTCAGAGTCAGGGCTACAGGCACGTCACAGTGACCCAAATTCTTCCCTGTGACAGGAACACTCCTCGCTCCGAGCAGCGATCTTCCGCGACGATGGCTTCTTCTGCATAGGACGCAATCACCTTCAGGGCTTGGGTGCTCTCGCGAGATACTACCATTGGCCCTTTGTCGCCTCCTCACTTCGAGCGCTGGCGCATCTTTCGGCGCTTCTTCTGCAAGCGGCGCGTGCGCTTCTTCTTCCACTTCCAGCGGAACTTCGAGCGTGCCTGGCGCCAGCGGGCTGTCTTCCGAACAGGATTCATACCCGGCAGGAGAGGGACTGCAAGATGATGTCACGGGACGTGCAATTGCACTTGCCGGCCTTCTTGTAGGGGTTGGACTTGTGCGCCATGGCGCCCCAAGCCCCGCCCGAGCCTCGAACTTGGCTCCCGAGCCGACCAAACGGCTCTTTCGATTGGCAAGCACACAGATTAAAACTGTCGGGCCTCGCAGGCTCTGGACTTTGAAGTATTGCAGCTGATTGTATGTTCGTGCTAGAGATTGCTGCATCGTGCAATGCAACTCAGCGCGGCTGTGCACCTTTCATGCAGTGCCACAGATGTTTGTGCACTTCCCTGCTGGATGATTTTACGAGTTCGTGTTTGATGCATCAACCTACAAACTTCGGGAGTTCATCCACTTAATGTTAGGCTTCTGGACAGTGTCATTTTCCTGTTGCTATCTCGGGACACATTACTCTGTCTCATGCTGCAGGTCAACCCTACCACATATGGCATGACTGGGACTGGGATTCAAGACACACCTGCCTTTCTGTGTCTTCTGTGTCAGGGCTCCCAAGCTGCAATGTCTTCGCTGCGCGAGGAACATGCCGTTGGCACCATGAATGGCTGTGATCCCTGCAGCGCACGTTAGCGGCACAAGCGCCTTCCTTACTGTATTAGTGCTCGCCGCTGCATCACCCAGTGCATGGGCAAAGTACAAAACCAACGTGCAGAGCAAGGACGGCGAGTGCCAATAAGGCGAATTGGCAGGGCGTCCTTTAGAGACCCAGACTTGTAAGTGAACCCAGAGCTGACAATCTTCTAAATGGCCAGAACCACAGCTTGCAAGGTACCGTTGTCGGCAACAGCTGACATCTCAATTCGACACGTCTAAAGTCTACATGCAAACTCATCTGGACATGGTGGTCGCATTTGGTGAAAAGGGTGACGGCATCTTCATTCCTACGTGGGCGAAGTGTTTCTCCATGCTTTCGCGCCTAAGCTTGGACATGTCACCACACAGAAACATGCACAGCGTAGGGCAGACATTTGCGCCGGAGCATCTGCCGAGTTCCTGACTTCTTCTTGGCTTGCCTCCACGCTTCTTTGCGCTCTCGTTGGGCCTTAATTGCTGCTGCGACACGAACCTTGGAACTCTGGCCATTGCAGTCAAAGAAAACCCGCCACAAAGCTGGCAGCAACGATTGCTAGATGCCTGGTTCAACTTTCGGCCAACATCTCGCAAGTGACGAATCTCCTCGGCAAGGTCGCAAAGCCGGTGTGCATCTGGCCCAGATGGAATGAAGTCTCCTTGCGCATATCACCCGAATCATCGCAGCGTGCCCGCTGCAGGCCTTGGCAAAAGAAGCTAGAGCTTCCATTCAGCACTTCAGGTCTTTTGCATGACCTCAGCCTGTCCCATCAATACGCTGAGCCGAGATGACATCAATGTCAGAATCAACACATGAGCGATCCCCATTCCCTTGTAACCTTTGTCGCCATGAACTGGAAGTATCTGCAGTGTGCGGATTGTTTGTGGCTACGGTTCAGGGGCCCCTGCGCTGCTGCTCTTGGCGACGCTCGAAGAAGTCCATTTTCTGCCGCTCTCGCTCCTCGTTGTTTGAAAGGACCTGCCAGGTTCGCTTTGCACATCGAGAGAGGCTCCGGACTCAAGATGGGCCAAGCCAAAGCGAAGGCGCCTGGTTGTACTTCAGGCGCCAGCGGAGTCTCTCCTCCAGGAGCCGGCTGGCCATCCTGTGGGGGATACTTGGGATCCGGGAGTCCGATCAGAACGCCATAGAGCGCCCTTCGGCGGAAGGCAGGCGCTTCGGGGCGTCGCTGTCCACGCCTCCACTTGATCGCAGACTGCTGCTCAAGGACCCGCTCCTTCCGGGGACCAATGCGACCCAGAAGAGAAGAGCAGTGCTACGTGACGCCGCCTTCAATGCCCGGTCGTGATCCACGCTCTTTGTGAGCACCTCTAGGAACCCAGGCTTCCATTCATGCTCCCGCTGATCTTGCGTGGTGTCCCGTTCCTATGGCCTCCGTCCGATGAATCTCGAAGTCGCGCTTGGTGCCAAGGACTTTGTCCCTGGCAGCGTCCTGCGTCGATCACAAACTGCGAAGATTCCTCAAGCTGTCCCGGAGCCTCTCGGTCGGCGTGGCTTACTCGCGAGGTCGTCGAGCCTTTGCTTCGTGAGTAGCCCCAAGCTTCCCAGACCCTCCCTTCATGCAGCCAACAGTGATGCACAGACTCGACACCTGAGCCAGTGGCGCATGGTGGATCCAAAGCCCCGGCTCGATGTGGCCCTGTCGGGCCTCACTTGCGAATCTTGCGATGCGGCTGGTGAGCATGATCTGGGGCGGCAGCCCGTTCATCCGTGAGCTCGTCATGGAGAAGGGAAGTGCAGTGGCGCCACGCTTTGGGCGCGTCGGATCATCCTGCTACGCTTGTTTCCGCAGATGCACAGGGCACTTTGTAGAGCGAGTGGCGTCCGGCATCATTATCGTGCCTAGACTAGACCTTAGGCTAGACTCCGTGGATCGGACCTGTAGGAGCCAATGCCTCTTGGAAGGTATACGGTTTATTTGTGTTGAGGATGACTGGTCCGCCTTCTGGGTGTGCATCTGGNNGGCTCAGCCTTGACATCTTCCTAAAGCAGCTAGAAGAGCTAGCCAAAATGAAGCTAACAAAAAAAGTTGCCGCTACACATGGTGCATATGTGAAGCAACAGTTGGACCGAGGCATATGCGTGACATCACGGCTGTGTTGCATATGTTGCATCATCATAAGCTGACTTCAGTGACGAAAGCCGTGGTTTCACGGCCTCCATTGAAAGCTGGTGCATCGCTTCTCGCAGCTTTGTGGCCTGTCACACCCCGGCATACGAGGCACCACTGAGGAGAGCGGCTAACAAGAAGACTGAAGGAACAAAAACTCCCAACCTCGATAGTCAGCGCACTTGGGCTTCAAAAAAATCTCTGAAACAAGCAGCTGTTCTTGTACTGACTACTACATCCACCTTGTATGGTAGCCGGCTGGCACTGATAGACAGTCATTCACGGCCATTGCACCCGCGCCTCGTACTTCTCTTCATCCTCGATTATGAGGCCTGGCAAGAACGGCTGGCTGCCCACACAAGGGTCAGGAAACGGCAAATTGCCGCCGGCAGGACGATCGAAGCACTCCGTGGCCATATCCGCGCGACGCTGCGCCAGCCGCTGCCTCTCCCTGTGATGTTTTTCTGTTCTTTACTGCGGCAGGGGCCCGAAGGAGAGAGAGCGAGACAGATAGATACAGAGAGAGACCTACGCTTTACTACGTCCCGGCTCCCCTGAGAAGCTCGCGCAAAGAACTCCTTTCGCCATTTGGCCCTTGGCAGGGCCGCATCTGAATGTATGTCCGCATTAAAAACCTGAACTCTTACAGGATACACACGCTTTGGAGATCGTTTGAACACGAGGAAACCCATACCTTGCAGCCATTCACACTGACTGTGTCCCGCCGATCCTCTCGCTATTCCACGATCTGCTTGGATGCATGTGGTGCCTTCTGCATAGTTGCGATACGCATCCAGCTGGTAACTGCGGCGATTTCCTGCTTACAAAGCTCTATCCCGAAATCCTGATGACAACTTCTACAGCATGACTTCAACTTCAGCTTCATGCGGACTTCCGGCCTTCACATAGCAACTCATTTGCATCCTGGAAAGGCTGAGCACCTCGCTCAATCTTGGGATAAACGAGATGAAGCTCGGCACTCTTTCTCGCAAACTCCTCCGATGGGATCTAAGCCATCTAAGCTTATTCGGTTGCACGGAATGGTCTCAAAAGCATTCCGATTCGCGCCCAGCAACGCTTTATGTCAATGTGACATGCGGCAAACGCGGCTCCTCGTCCGCCTGGTTGCCACGAGGTGCTGACTTGAGGCGTTGGACCAGATCTGCATGCAGCAGGCACGCTGGTGCACACGGGGGCTCGGCCATGTTCCGCCACATCGCGAAAGTCGATCCTCGTAGCTGCCCTTCCGAGGCCGAGCGCTTGTCCGCAAGGCGAAGGGACCTGCAGTCGGTGCCAGCGCCGTGCTTGGAGGACCGCACGGGAAAGGCCTGAAGGCAGTGCCGACGGCAGGAGACACCGGCGGTAACGTGACCTGCCGCTGCCGCATCGAAACTGGCGGTTTCGGGGCCTCCTGGGCCCCTCGCCTCGGTATCGAAGCCGCTGGAGGACATCGGACTCGAACGTGGGGATGCCTGAAATCACAGCTGAGACGGTGGTGCCCAGCAGCATTAACCATGCGTGTTGAAACCGTTGTCCATTGGGATATGATTTCATGTTTGAGATGTCGTCAACATTTTCCAGGGTTTCTCGATTCTGAGCCTGGGGGAGCTTGTGCTTGGGGGCTTGGGGGGTTCTAGGCTGTTGAAAATTCGGCTTGTGTGCTCTTGGGTTGACAAGTATTGAATTTGGCGAACTCAACCATATGACAGATGTGTACTCGACCTCTGCAGAACATGGACTTTCTGTTCTGTGCTGCCCGGAGCCTAGGATGTCAAGAAGCCGTGAAGAACTGCACGAAACTCACAAGGACAGACCCGAAAAGGAAAGACTTACAGTATAGAAAAGAGCCACGAAGCCCATGCGCCCTCCCAAGCCCCCCACAACCCGCATGGTTCCTACTCCAACCAAGCAAGTGCACCGCAGCTCGGCTCTGTGAGTATTCCTCCAGGACCTGTCGTCGCAATGAGCAAGCAGCACGCGATGGGATGCTCCACGCCCCTTGAGACGCGCCAACACGGCGGAAGTGCCTCGTGGAAGAACCCCAGCGCAGAGGGATACGGCCTTGGGTCTAGCAGAGAGATTGCGCAGCGGAGTCCGGATGATGCTAAGCTACTAAGCTGCTGTCCCACTTGCTCTTTGCTCTCGGCATCTGGCGTTGTAGGAGCACCTGCCAGGTTCGGGTCCTGGCCACAGAGCCACAGAAAAACGTAGCAGGCCGCACTTAAACATGCTAAACAGCATATGCGACGCATTCGCACTGCGGAGCATTTTTGCGGCACTGAGGCCATTGCTGGAGGTCCGCCCTCCGCCCAGTTCCTCAGACACAACACAGTGCGGAGTCCGTTTGCCCAAGCTCTCCTGAGCAACCACCCCAAAAACCTAACAACAAAAGGAAGAGAAAGAACTGAAGGCGTTGGAGGCAACCTCGCCGAGTCCAAGATGCGAGCTAGCTCATGGATATTGGTACAGCGATAGATACCAAGACGTGGAAGCATGTGGACGCACTGGAATCCAGGAAAATACATAGATGTAACAAAGGGATAAAGATACGCAGGTGCGGAAGTAGCATGCAGAAGCGAGAACAGAGGTTTCTGTAACGGGACAAGGATTTTGAGGGCTGCAAGTGTGAACCTCCCCGTGAGGACGTGGCGGCTGGAGCAGCTGATGCACATCAACCTTCGCAGCGCGACCAAACTCCTGCGAATGTCATCGAGTGCAAAGACTCATCACACCCCAACTCGACTTTCCGACGCCCGAAGCTCGCAGACTCAACCCTGGGCGGCTCCGTGGATTCCACGGCACGCTCCTTTTCCTTGGAACTTTCAGCTCCTGGCAGAAGAGCCAACTCAAAATGCGAAAGGTCGCAGAGCTGCACGGAGGTGCCGCGGCATCTGGCAAGGCTGAGTGCCCGACGTTCTGCTTCTTCGGCCAGCTCCACAATGACCTTACGCCTTGGAGGCAAGAGTCCCCCTTTTTGCCGTACAAGCCGAAGTCCGGCAAGAGTCCCCAAAGAGAGAGCCGGTGCATTCACTTCACGGGCTGCCCGGCGTCTCTTTGGCAGCATGGATGAGATCCTGCCTCCGTGCCTAGCGACGCAAGCCGAGTGCAGATCTGGCAATGGCTGTCGATAGTGAAGTGTAAGACAGTGCGAAGCATGCCAAGGCCATGGGTGGTCAGGTTTCCTTAAGCTGTGCGGCTGCCACCATCAAACACGAATCCCTGCCAACCTCCAAAGACCCGCGATGCTTCTGGATCAGGGCCTTGGCCCTAGCCTTTAGGCAAACACGCCTCCATGAAGTCATATCGGAGCTGGGCGATGCGTGGATCTAGGCCTGCGCCAGGGTGCTTGTCTTTGCTTCTTCGGGGAACACTTGCACCGTCAACCTGCTGCAGCTACAACACCCCAACATCCTAAACCCTAAATCCTAAACTCGGACGACAGGCCTGGAAGCTGGAACACCTCGAGCGGCTTGTACGTCAATTCCTTGCAACTTCATCATTTGCGGTGATTCTTTGTTCGGGGTCCTTCATTTAAGCGTCCTTTTAACTTGGTCATGAGGATCCCACTACTACGAGTCCCAAGCTCCATGGCTTGCGAAGTGAGGCGGCTTCTCCATCTCCGTAGTGATTTCTGATGACAGCTGTCCAGACGGTGATGCCGAAAAGTACCAGAATACCCTTCCCCTAGAAGTAACAACAGCAGCAACACGACGAGACAGAGAACTGAGGGGACGAGGACGGTGACGACGGCGGTGGTTGTTTAATGGCATGTGGCTTAGAAACCAATAGCACGGATGATGCGAATAGTACAGCGCGTGCGCTCATCACTGCAATTCACACGAGTCAAGCTGGGGCTCCCGTGGCAAAATGCCCTGGACATCACAGGCAGCCAGCGACCGAGGGCTGCCGATCTGGCCAAAACAGACGTAGGTCGCATGCCATGGAAGAAGGGACACCAGAAAAATGCGGTTGACTGTCTTGCTTTGCTTCGTCTCTAGTTCTTGTCCGCATCTGTACGCGAATGCATTCGCGCAAGCAACCTCCAAGGAGCGACACGACGACACTGTCCCATGGCCTGAACATCTGGGTCGAACTCGCGGAAATCCTGGGCAGACATCCAAAGAAAGCATGGCTCTGGCTTCCCCTGCAAGCCGTTCTCTGGTCAGAAGCGGCAAGTGTGTGCTTTTATTTTCTGCTCCACCCGAAGACTGTCCTCCAAGCTGCAGCTCCAGGACCAGTCCACGCTCAAGGATCCATCCGCCTCCCTAGACTGCATGGAAAAACACAGCACTCTTGAGACTTAGGCACTGAAGGTTTCCTGTTGGCCTGCTGTGGCGCCCTTGTTCAGTGCAGTGCCTACTGGGGGCCTCATGAGGCTTCACAGTGCGACCTCTGCAATCCAAAGCAGCTGCGGCAACGATGTAGGCTCAACCATCTCGGCGTTCAGCCCTTAGGCTCATGCAAGACTCGCTAGCTTTGCACTCCCTGCCACACTCTGCACAGACCACTAGGATCTTGTTACGACTCTGCTTCACTCTGCCTAGCCCTGGACGCCTTCTAAATTCAACGTTCAGCTCAAGCTCCCAGCACAGGACTTCTTTTTTTGCCGCCGGCGCACCCTCTCTTTTTGGGTCATGTGTCCCTGAAGTAGGAGACATCACAGCAACGGAGAGACATCCCAGCAACCTCTTTTCACTACAGCCCACACCGTGTTCAACGAGTCGTGATGCTTGCTGCTGGTGCAAGCAATGAAAGCAACACGACCACCGGACCGGAGTCCACGCGTGTGCTGACACCTTTTGTGTTCAATTCCAAAGCAGACCCTGACTTCCCTTAAAGCTCTTAAAGAGGGAAGGAGGGATTGGCGACGTTCCTTGCACCATGCAGGCATGCGCAGACAGTGCCGCAGACGGGATTTTATTTGCAATCAGGCTTGGGGCAGCGTACTGATGGAAGAACGCGGCGTTGTTCACAGAGTCTTGGAGTGGTTGCCTTCGGGCCGGCTAACGCTGACGTTGTCTTCGTCAACGCTGCGCCGTAGCCTGCAAATGAAGATTCTGCGCGGCACGATGGTCCCTTGAGTCTGGCATGACTTGGACGCAGAGGAGCAGATTCGAGTTACCTGTCCCAGCAAAACGGAGACGAGCTCTTTATGCATCTTCTAATGATTTCTCAACGAACCTTCCGGCTCAAGGGTTTGCCCGGCGCAACTGGCACAATCAAGCACAGCGAACTCAAAGCTTCCGATCTCTCAACGAGGCACCTTGCAACACGACCGTTCTGCTTGTGCCGGCGTGAAAGTTCCTGCCAACTGCAAACCGCGTTTTGGTGCCTTATGCTTGATGACCGTATTTCTCACAGACGGACTCCAGGCTGCTTCGACATATGCAGTGCAGTGCAGCAACGACGTGTCCAGACGTTGCGTTCTGTGCTCCAAAGCTCGATTCTGCTGAATAAATCCACTCTCTCTAGGGAGGGTGTTGTCAGCTCCCACTCTGTGATAGCTACAGGCCTATGTTCAGGACATCGGTCAGAATTCCACACTTTTGAGCACTTACGATTCACGGGCCTACGGCCCGCTGCTCCCATGATCGTAGGGG